GGACCCTCAAAGTAATATCTATAAACAAACTAAAAGTTTCGTCGCATTCTCTAAATACCGTGGACAGCTCGAGTAATGTGCGAAGAGGTACTGAGAAGTATAAATGAGGACAAACAACTATGAAAAGTACGAACTTCTGCAATATTAATGGAGGGAAAGATTAAGAATAGAAGAGGCATATTGAGGACAGCACTATACGACATGTATATGATACAGGTAACGAGGGATCTTGAAGCGATGGAAAATGTGACTTCCAACATCCATTCGTAGATAATCACTATGATTTGCGATATTTTGGATACATTTTATACAAACTTTATAATAATATTCCCGATAAACTAAAGAAGCTAAACCGGAAAACATAAAAAACGCTGCTCCATTGTTGTTCCCTTTTTTCATACCGATGCATGTCCCGTCAATTATTTCTGACTTGAGAAGAATCGAATAGTTTCAATTCTATTTTCTTTTAGGTACATTATCTTAAATATATGTTCATGATTAACACTTTAATAATCGTAAAGGTGAGAATGATGATCATTTTTAATGTTTTATATACACATATATTGCAAATAAATCATTTATTTATATATTTATTTTTGCAACCCATCAGAGAAGTCCCGTATACCTGGAACTAAAAGAAATGTCTTTAAGTTTAGTTAAGCCAAAAATAAGTTTTTTTAAACAAACCGTTCAAATTCAAAAAGCGTTTGATTTACTTATTTGACTATGTGCGCACTGTTTATCGGATATATAAAAATAATTATAAGTGTAATAATTGTTTAGAATAAAATTTATAAAAATAAAATTGGTGAAAAAATATAATAAAAAAATATAATAAATATAAATATAAATAAATATATTATTCACAAATACCGATAAACCAAAATGGACCAAAAGTGCGCAGCATCACTTTAATACCAAAATGTCTAAAAGATACAAATGTTAAACCGCCCTTCATAAATAGTACAATTTATGAGTCTTCATAAATTTCAACAGATAATAAACGGTCTAAATTTATCCAAGAACAAGTGCCAATCAATGCGTACAAGAAAACTTTTTTAACCCTTTTCTGGTAATTGCATATAGACAGGCCACTCATAGATTCCCTAGATGACTGCAAGTTTAATTAAAATCGTTTTACAGTCTTTAAAAGCTCATCGTAAACTCCCGTCAAGCTTACGAACTTTGTGTAAAATAATTTCTTATTCTAGGCCTTTTTGAAATAGACTTTAGTTAAGTGGTTTTGCCCTCCGAAGAAATAACACAAAATGGTACTAGCTATTCTGTGACGAAGCATAACCAAGGATGAATTTGTTATTTAGATAGGAGTTTTGCCATGTGCTGTTTAGTCTTTTTTAATCTAATTCTGTGATACTTTCGAATACCCAAGGCAAATTTGAAACATGAATTCTGAACGCTTTGGACTCACTCGCTGTCGTTAAAAAGTACATGCTCATTTTACTTGCCCCGTATATTTTTCAGCGAGAACTTCCAGGCTACGACGTCTCTTTTGTTGTTAAATTAATGAAGACAGGCGGACAAAGAGAAATAGTTACAACCGTAAATAATAACTCGTATAAAAGTTTGAAATACATGGTAAACTACTTTTATATTTTTATTTTACTTATTTGGCGTTATAATTATATTTATTGCAACCGTAAATCTACAACGCTAGAGAAACCTTCCACAGGATAATAGTATTTAGAACTTTTCTGGATTGCTCCTGCCTCGGTTGTTCATGAATCAAACTTGACGTTTCGCCAATGATATTGTTGATTTTTTCAGAGTTTAACTGAAGCTGTTTCAGTTGGCTTCTTCAGAGCTCCAGCAGGGGGAATCCGGAACATTTGTAAATAGTACTTAATATGTGGCTAATTATGTCAAAAACAAATGATCTCTACCGATTTTTATATTGAGAAACAAAAAAGGAATGCGATAATCTTTAAACTGAAGAAAAGTACCAATTACAAGAAAAGAGGATAGTCAGTTCGGATAATAAAATTAAAACCGTGTAGTCAATTTTTTGCAAAATCACAAGAAAAATTTACAGAAATATTTCAGATTTGCCAGAAGGGACCAAAAAAATTGCAAATGACCTTAATAAGCATTTGTATTACATCTTGTCCTTGTGAGTTACTAAAAACTGCAATAAAATTAATTAACAAATGTATCAAGCGGTTGTGAAACACAAGTTTCGTGCTATTTAATAAATAATTTCATGACGCAAAGCTGTCTTTCCGGAGCAGCTAAAAACAGCTTTAATTAAACCAGTGCAAAAAAAGATACCTGACTGATTTAGACAACTATCGACCAATTAGTATTTTGCCTAGTTTCTTTCTCTAAGCTGTTTAAAATGGCGATTGATGAATGAATGAATGATTTCGATTTTTGAAAAAATGTAAATTGTTTTCTCAGCATGCGTATTTGAAAAAAAACACCGTCATTTTTCAAAATATTTTGGGGTAGTGCTTCTGATATAGAAAGAGTTTTTATTATACAAAAAGGGGACCATAAGATCATGAAAAAAATGAAGAACTCTTGTAGAGGAAGCAAATAATGACGGTGAATGCAATCTATATTTGCGAACCTTATTATAAGTTTATTAGGATATACATCCACCTACCAAATTCTGTTATTTGTTCTAAAACACTGATATTATTTTCTTGCTAAAAATTTTAAATGGCCGTGAGATATTTGCAAGAATTCCATTTAATGTAGCGCCACGACAATTTAGAACCATATTTTTATTGATTATTCTATTTAGAAACACCAAAAACTCTAAAATTTCTCCCCTGCTACGCATGTTGTTTAGACCTGGATTTATTTACGCTCTCACATGATGCTTTAAAGAAGACACTTACCGTTAGACTATTGGATCGATATTCGTTAACTGATGCGTAATATTTCCTGGTCTTTGTTTACTTAAAATACACCACAATACCACATAATAAATAAATAAATCAGAACCTTTTCTTTTTTTTCCTTCTCTATGAAAAGTTTGTTGGATCTGATGCACTTTTCAATCTGCAATTTTAGATATATGGTTACTTTTCTTTTCTATGCCGGACTCTTTCACATTCTTTGTGTTGTTATTGACTAAACTTTGCATAATATTATGTACTTATAATTGGATTCTTAAGATGGGTTTAATCTTTTTGTATACTAAAGAGAAATAAATAAATAAAAGGGATATAAATAAGGTTTCATTATTATTATTATTATCAATATTATTATTATTTTAAAGTTAACTCAGCTTCTGCTATTATTCATTTAGCCTGATGACTAGGCTAAGACAACTTGGTTCGAAAATGATTCAGTTCCTTTTACTTAGGATCCGTTCAGGTATGACACACGCCTTCTATGAGGTTCTAGGATACTTCAATTTCCTGAAGATTTCCTGGGAGACTCTTCGAAATAATCCCTTTAGTCGATATCACCAATGGAATAGTTCTTACGTTCGTCAGCTTCGAGATGTTCTTGAGCTCCATTGCTAAGCTCTCGTTTTTAGTGACTTTCCTTGCCTCATTTCTACCGGCGTAGTGTGACTTTGTTTAGTTTTGATGCTTCTCTTGCCTTTGTAAATGACATTGTCCGGTCTATTGCAGTCTACTACTCTATCCGTATATATAGGATTTTCCCAGTGCAGTAAACGCTCTATCTGTTTCTAGAAGTATTCAGAACTGGTATTTATAGAAAGGTGGGAATATCTGAGGAAGATTATTCTTGACAGCTAACTGTTGGTGGAGGATTTTAGCCATTTGGGTAGGATGTCCTAGGTATGCGTTGTCTGCGAACGACCAATAGTCAGTGGTTTTCATAGTTTCGAGTCCTAGTAAATTTGTTCTGGATGGCCATGAGAAATCCCTCCGTTTCTGGGTAGAGCCAACCCGCATAGAGGCATGATAGTGAGGTCAGCTAGCGACGTTGCTTCTAGACTTCTTGGAAATCTACAATATAAAACTTGTTGCCTCCAGGTGGTATGATATTCCTGATTTGATCTATCTTTTTTTCGAACTCAAGGTTATGTGTTACACGTTCAATGGTGTATTGCCTCGGCCTGGAATCTTCAGACTTGGGCTCTACACAGCACAGCTTGAGGGCTTGGTCTTCAGAATCAGGAGTACCCTTTTCTTGCATTTCTCGGAGAATGCACTCTTCAGGTGTTTGTGGTTTATTCGTTGGTTCTGAGGTATTCCCAAACACTTGTATGTATATTCGGGCTGCAAGGTCAATATATCCTAGAAATGCTTTTCCTGGCGCTTCGCCACGTCTCTTTTGATATGATGGCACACTTGTCAAGTTCAAACGACATGCCAATGTCCCCGCTGAAAATCCGGCGTTAATCAGAGAGCGTAATCCAGTCGGGTCCTCTTATTATTATTATTATTATTATTATTATTATTATTATTATTATTATTATTAACTGATCGCAAACTTTATGCTCAATGCTAATAAAGAAGGAATCTTAAACAGGCTACTTCAGAGTTTAACTCAAATCATCTGTTCAGCATTGTTGTCTGTTAAAAAGAAACGTAATTAGTATCCTCGTCATGCGGATATTCACAATAATTATGCTAGAAATACCATTATGATCGATTGCTCAAGAATTGTTAAAATTATACATCACACATGACAAAATTACAAGGCGGCAAGGTGAAAGTTAATGTTAATTTTTTAAAAATTAGAAACCCCCAATATAACATCCCATTTCTACTTGTTTGAGCGAAGTAAGTGATGTTAACTAACCAAAGTTTATACTGTGGTACTGCCGCATCAAATGGTGCGTTGATCTATTTTTGGGTTAAACATCTATCTCAAACTGTGGATTGAAAATAAATTTAAAAAATGTTGTGTGCTTTTTAAATAATAATTTTAGTCCATCCCACAACATTTTTTAGATGTGTTCAACGTTCTTTAGGTGACAAAGAATATAACGATCTATCACAATTTTCTATTCTGTAACCGACTAACCTATAATATCGCAAACTTTTATAACTCACCGTCTTTCCTATAGTAGAGCACCTCCGCGTGTTTTTCGACGCCCTTCTGCAAAGCCTCCCTCAGCCCGTTGACGGCCTGCTGTGACGTCAGCGGTCCGCACAAGAACGAACAAGAGGCCGACCTCTGCATGACCTCCGCGCGGGAGTATCCCGCCAACCTGCAGAATCCATCCGAGCAATAGATTATGTTGCATTGTCCCGGTCTCGAGTAGTTGGCCACCAGGAAAGAGCGATCTGAAAGATAAACAAGCGTCGAGATTTAACTAAAGAAAGCATTCCGGCCGGGCCGCGAACGTAGTAGAGCTTTGCTCGTCGGATATGAACAAATCAAAAAGGGTCACTTTCGTCTCTCTCACTCGGTATCTGGTTCCTTGCAACGATAGATATAGATAGAAAGTTACCGTGTGCAAGTTTTTGGAAAACTAAAAATGCCGAATAATGCCAGCGTATGAAAATTATGCAAAATACGATATGGCTACGACATTATAGGTTGGTGCTTTTTATGTCTCCAGAATGAAGGCCTCCGTTTTTGAGAGATAGATTGAGAAGGAAATTGATTTGAAGTAGTATTTGCATCAAATCCATGCTAACGATTTATCCGGTCAGAAGAACGTTTTTTTAATACAAGCACCTAGCAAAAAAAAATATTTGAAAGGATAAAACAAGAACGCTGTCATATTTATTTTGGGCAGGCATATGATCTATAGGATTTTTGAAGAAGTTCTTATGGACCTTTCTTGTTAACAACTTTGGTCAAAGATAGGTAGGTACCAACGGACATTTTATATGGCCAAGGATTATAAAAATGGCCAATATTTATTTTGGAGTTTATAAGCAATTTATGGCTACAAAACTGTTGTTACAAACTTGCTATTATAAAAAAAATCCGTTACGAATTTTTGAAAATGTTTGCCGTTGAACTCGCTCGACTCTTGGATGCGGTTGGTTGGTACCGAAAGGAAACTCATTATTAAAAACGGTCCACTATCAATCAGACACACAATTCTATGGCAGTGAGCGTAACGCTCCTTGATAGTGTGTATGTATTTAATTATTGGTTATACATATATTTTCGTTTCCTAATCTGCTACACCCACTACACCTTTAACCTTTTCAGAGAAAGTCAAATTATTCGTACAACTAAAACTATTTAGAAAGCAAGAAAAACAAAGATTTGAAATATAATAAATATGCAATTGATGTTGGCACGTAAAGCGTTACACAGAATGAAGTAAATAAAACGATTAAAACATACGACACGGTACAGTTGAGTGCATTATATACTCAAACGCTCATCTTTGAAACAAGAAAATTCTATTATATATTATATTTGCCCAAAATTGTGTCTAAATTTATATTTTATTTATTACTTTATATTTGATTTTGACACTGCTGTTAAACTTAATAATAAATAAAATAACATCTTAAAATAATTGTTTTTCCACCAATGGACAGATGAACACTTGTAGCGACTTTAATTACATTAATTGCACGATTTTTTACAAACGCTGTATCTTTAAAATCAAAAGGGTTTTAAAAATAAAAATATTGTATTGGTTGAAACCCTAAATGCCATGCTGGACGGTATTCCGGCCTGTTGCGCCGCATGAAGGGCCCGGAAATGTTCCGCAACGTACTTAAAACTGTCACATTTTGGCGAAATTAAAATCGCATTTCGAAAGTCCAAGTCGTCAAGATCGTTATCTAACGTTAATGTAATTTAATTGCATATTCGGATCATAATTATAATTAAAGTTTTGATAGATTGTTTTAATTTGAGCATCTTTTTTATTCAGCGCATATATCGTGAGAGATATTTAAATTTGCCGCAGAGCCATATATTTCCATTAATAGATAATGTGCCGAACGATATTAAAGAAGGGTTGTCTTTCAAGAACGTTTTCCATTTTGGATTGGTCGGTACGGGACCACGGATTGGCTAGCGAAGAGCCTTGACTTTACACACCTGGATTTTTTTACGGGGTTGCATAAAAAACAAAGTGTATAAAAATAGGTGTCATTGTGTTCAAGTCTTCAATAAGGAAAAATGAGAATTCGGCAATAGGTAGAAAGACTGAATATTACAGGCGATAAAAGAAATGCTATTGCCAAAATTGAAACCATATGTACTACTTGTATTGCCAAATATAGAGATTATGCAGAAAACGTTTTATAATTATTAATAACTTCTGTTTACTTGCCTTACTTTTTGATTTTATATTGAATTTAAGTAATTAATGTTTAGATAGATTTAAAATAAAATACACGAGTTGTTGCAGAAACTTAGCCTTAACTCCTAAACTACCGGTTTTTGTAATAAAAGCTGTAAATATGAAGTGATGCAGAATTAAATCCTACCGGGTGTTTTTTATGGTGATTTGTGACCACTCTGTGAAATATATTTTCGCCAAAGATGGGTCAAAGAATTAAATAGTAACCACTCCAATGGATTCGTAATAAAAAATTCCAATTTTAGTTTTCAAGTGAAAAAAAAAACAAATTTTTCCAAAGACCTGTTTTTCCGCAAAAAAAGTAAAAATTCATTTTTCTAAAAATCTACTCAAAATTTCGTATGCGAAAAATACTCAATATCAAGCGAATAATTTGAATTATGAAAAATATTCATAGCATTCTATTTAAAAAAAAATTATGTTACTGTTTATTATATATGTTATTATGTTATATATGTTATTATGTTACTGTTTATTATTATATTACTGTTTCAACACCACTTTGAGTCAAACACTTTTTAAATTTAATTTTTTTTCCTCAGTGTTGCCTTCATTGAGATAAGGTTTTAAATGGACCACCCTGTACATAGTACGAACGCCGATCGTGGGTCCTGCATTATATAATAGTCTTTTATATGCATTTTCTTTATATACGACAATCCTGTTTATAAATAAATTTTTCAATATATAATGAAACTGTCATATTTCATCGATTTCTGTTATACTTTAGGTGACACAATTTTAATACAACAAAACAACAAAAGTTCTGATTAGTTAAAGCAGGAATAAACAAAACCAATTATCATTTTAGATACGGATCTTGGCCTTAGCTGAAAGATATATTTGGCTTCTGGTGCTTATGAATGTTTTGAGTGTTGAGTTTTTGCTACATTGCGAGATATACAAAACCAATTCTTTGTTAGTGACATGCAACTTTCATTTGTTTATTATTGTTATTGTTATTATATATTTTTGAGAAGGTAAAACGACGGCAAAATTTATAATCTAAAAATATACATGGTGTTCCACCTTAAAATAATATAAGTTTTGTTTATAACTCAAAAGTTATAAATACGCAACAAAAAATACTTACACCACTGCATTCTGAGGGAAAAAAATGTCTTAGAACTTTTTTTAGAGTGCCAAAATTCAATATTTTCACAAATGCCCTGTATCTTTAAAATCAAAAGGGTTTTAAAAATGAAAATATTGTATTGGCCGAAACCCTAAATGCCATGCTGGACGGTATTCCGGCCTGTTGCGCCGCATAAAGGGCCCGGGAATGTTCCGCAACGTACTTAAAACTGTCGCATTTTGGCGAAATTAAAATCGCATTTCGAAAGTCCAAGTCGTCAAGATCGTTATCTAACGTTGGGGGGAGTATGAAAGCTAATCGTGTCGCGCTGAATATTAAAGTACATCTTTGATAAACAAGTCCGTGAACTCCGTCCCCCGAAATCCGGGCGTACGCTTAATTTCGTTAAAATTTTATGTGTTTACCGAACACGAGCGGGTAAAATTTGGAGCCGCGTCGGTTTGATTAAACACCGGAATCTCGAATTCCGCTAATAAACTTTCCGGCCAATCGTTTTAAACGTTGCTATTGAAAAAACGTAATTATTCCGTTCGTTAAAAAATTGCGATTTAATAGATGATCAGGAAGGAAATGCGAAGAGTCTGAAATTTAAGGTGGAACTTCGAAATATGAGGGTGATCTGATAAGTACAAAAATTTTCATCGGTATTCAAAACTCTAACTAGGTTATACAGAGTGTCCCGGTAAGGGCGAAGAGGTCCGATAATGGAGAAAAATACGGTCCTATAAATTTGAAAAAAAATAAATAAAACAACGAAGATCACTGGAAATGATTTTTGATTTTCTAGAAAAATTTCTAATGTAGTGAGTATGATCTTAGAGCTGAAAAAAAATCAATATCCAGATCTCGAAAAATGGTTAACGTATACGCTATAAATTGCGTTACCTGGCCACCTATTGGAGTTTTCTAATATGATGTGAGTTTCTTAACTTTGTTGGATATGCAAATAAGGGCCCAACATCCCAGTGAAAACAGCATAACCTAAAATATGTATGTAAAGAAGAACTTAATGATCAAAAAAGTATTGGATTTTAGAAAATTTTTGCACTTTATCGTGCTTAACTATCCTGAAGGTTCCAAATTAAACGCAAATTTATTATTAAAGATAATGAGTAAATATAAATAATAACATAAATATTATTTGTTATCTATATTACTTTTCTACATTTTGAAATACTTAACCGTTTCCAAATATTTAGTTTTTTTTTCCATTAAAAATTGTGTAATTAAAGTCGTAACTAGATGGTACTATATAGCTTTCTAAAATAGTATACCAAGAAATGCGGTCTAATATTTTTTCCAAAGAAATTTCCTCAATACTATTCACAAATCTTCTGGATTCTCGCTGCTCTGGTTGTTGATAAATCGAACTTGCTGACGTTTCGCGAATCATCCTGTTGACTTCTTCAGACATTAACTGGAGTTGGCTCACATTCTAATGTGCACCTACTACATATTGGTGAAAGGCAAATATCTGAGTCGTAGTTAAATTGTTTGGTTGTTTAGATATTTTTATGGATTCTGGGATTTCTCTTTGGTCTGCTGATGAGTTTAATCGTCGTAGTCTTAAGGATATTATATATTCTTTTAGCCTAATTAATATTTATCCTCTTATTTCGAAGATGTTGGGAGATTTTTGGACAAGTATTAATTCTGCTTTGAACATTATATTTCTCGCGAATCTTTGATGTGTGATTAGTGATATTTTCAAAGTAAGGGAGGAGCACAGTGGCATGTGTGGGGTTGAGATGGTTTTACGGCTCTGAGCGCTAATAATCGATTTTTGCGCCGGTTGGTGATGTGACAATGCATTAAGGTATCGTCGTCTATGTGCGTAGGTTTTCTGTAAACTGGTTCAATGTTAGGTCTGATGTCTATTGATAAGAATCGAAGATTATTAAAGTTTA